TATATCGAGCATTTAGATTGCTATTCCCTCAATTTAGACTAAATGTCGGCTATGGGAAACGCATTTATGACAATTATCGTTGTCGATAATTAGATGAACAACATCCCCCCGGGAAAATGCTGGGTATACATATATGTATCGCTATTTACCAATGCACTTTTGCATGTAACATGTCGACGTAAATAACACATAATAATTTTAGCTTGTCGCGTCGATTATAGAATCAACGTGGCAACGTGCGCGGGGCACGTTTATTTTCAGGGGATGAAATGGATAAAATTGCAAACGAGATAATACGTTAAAAACAGAATTTCCAATTTACTTCCTACGAGAGAGCAAGGAAAAGCTTATAATCCTTTACGTGGACATTCGGCGACTCCCGTGCTAACTCGTAATTAATAAATAAATAATTAACATCTGTTACAGTGCGGTTAAGGTAAATCGACGACACAGGATCCGACGACTACAGAAGCCGTTGTATTTATTATAATTTATGCGGTCCCTAACGTCACAAAGGGACCATCGTATCGTGATCCTAAAATACGGAATGTCGAAATGGGAAGGGCGAGCAGATTAATGGGACGCGAGAGATTCGGGATATTCGCCTCGAAGAAACATTTTTTTTCTCGTATCACCGTGTTCGTATTTTTGGGCGTGTCGGTGGGCCTGGATATCAGATGGCAAATAAAAAAAAAGTTACGAATAAGAAAGAGATATTCGTTCATTTAAAATCTCATCAGCGCGAAATCTCCTGCATCTGATTTCTGCCCGTCCATCTATCAATATATCACGGACTCCCGGCGTACGATTTTATATGTTCTCCGTCATCGATCCACCGAAGCACCAGCTGCCAATGTTGGTTACAAGTTTGTCGGATAATTTAAGCCCGATAACACGGTGACCGTTGATCCGCCGGAGGAAAAAAGAAACGAGCTCTATTTGAGTCGTCGGTTCGCCGTTCTCGACGTACTCGTGCCATCGTGCGAACATATTCACGTCCGTAAGATCGTTGCGACGACGTCTGTTTGGTCGCCATTACATAAGTTGGATCGATAGAGATCGGCGAAGATCAAGAGGGTTCACTGTCAAAGATAGCACTCTCTTATCTAAATTCTCTGGAAAGTCTGGATGCAGACATGCGTGATGCTTTGCTAAAGTAAATTTTCTTTAATATTATACTTTTCATCATTAAGTTTTGACTACAATTTGACGTATATTTTGACGACATTTTGATGTATACTTCAAGTTCACCCCATTGACGTAATTATTACGTGACATGTAATCGTATCTTTTATTTAGATGTAAGTTGATAAAAAAGTATTATAATTTAGATTGTACATGTAGATTTGACATTGTAGTATAGATGTGTTATCATCTGAATTACATAAATGACAAATTGTGAATTAATTATTTCGGTTCGATACTATACATGTATAGATTGTACTATATGTATCAAAATCATCAAATGGTGTTCAAGCTGTAAATTGAATACAATCAATTTAGTATTGGCTTTTTATTAATAACAATTCAATCAAAGACTATTATTAGTCGCGAGTTTCTATTTATTAAATCTAAATAATTTGACTATTAAATTTGATCGTTAAAGAGAAACTGTATTAAAATTGATTGATTGAGAAGCTTATAAAGCTATATTAAGCTATATTTCGGGGACTTATGGGATTAAAACTTTCATGTTCTCATTCATGTCATGAAAACCTTCATAATTATTGATATAAATTTCATAATTATTGATGATTCATAATTATTGATGCCTTGGTATAAAACAATTTTCCTTATCGATTCGTTGAAACAACTTTGAAACGTTGGAATAACTTTTTTAAATGCATGTTAAACTCTAATTAAGCGTTTAATCGCCATCTTACTCTGTATCTTTCATATTTCTTCTGCTATTTTGTTCGACTGCTTGTTGCTCGCTCATGTGACATCATAAATTAAACAATCACCTTTTTTAAAAATACTCAGATAATATGTCTGATGTTGAAATAATATTTTTCTTAAAATTATATTCTGATTGCTGTCACGTATAAAGTACAATTAACTTTTCTGATGGTAATATTATTTTCAAAGTTCGAGAGAATTATAAAAAGAGAAGTACTGACTTGTTACATCTAGTCTGAACAGTCATCGCCTCATCATAATCTTTTAACTTGTTTGCTTTCCTGTTGTGTTCATGATAACAAAACTAAACTAAATTATGACGAGATTTATTTTCATGAAACAGTCATTCACCTAGTTTCTTTATATCGTGCTCGAATACAAAAAGGTTTTTAAATAAAATTGTAGAATTTCTAGAGGTATTAAACGGTAATCGATATTTAATATTTTTAGTTCCGACTGAAATAAGTGACTTACACATATATATATATATATATATATTCGCGAAAAGTGTAACGGTCAGATATAAACGCTGAAATTGTCTCAAATATCAGAAAACCATTTTGGATCATCTTGTAGAAAAATTTATAAACGTGCATATATAAAATATATTATTTTCTATGCGTATCTCTTATGGCATAAATGACATCTAAATAAAAAAGAAATAGATATCAAGTCCAGAGTGATGACTGTGGGAACCGCTGTGATGATCACTATTATTTCCGCTGTCCGATAAAATCCTACCAATGTTAAGATAAGTATAGATTTAAAATTGTAAAAGGGAATATTTTGAAGAATTTTTTTTATATATAAATTTAAATCGGACATGCGAATAAACAATAGGAAAATTCATGATATCACGATCGGACAGATAATTGGCGCTTAAAATCATGCCTGATCACGTAATGTCATGAACTTTCCTATTAATTTTTTTTTAATTTTTGCGCAAATAAAATTCAGGATAATTTTAATAACTAAACCTATTAAAAATTTAAAATATCCGATAGAAAGGAAAAAATAGAGAGAGAGTATTAATTCAATATTTATATAGAATT